AAGTGTGAGATGAGTCTGGCAATGTGTAATTGATAGAAATCGGTCAGGTGTTTTGGCCACTAATAAGTACTTATTGGCCCTTCAAGTACTTCTTACTTTACACTCATCCAGTCCGCCACGTTTGGCGCATGGAGGCACTCTGGTAGAAGAAACGAGACGAGTACAGTGGCACTTCAGAATCGGTCTTGAAGTTTTCGCTCTAGGCCTGCAAGTATAATTCCCAAAGAATGGTCCTCAACCTTATACTTCCTGATCTGCGAAAGTACTTGCCCGTTAAAGGTGAAACTTGGTGGACTCGAAGTCCTGGTTAGCGGCATGAAGTCTAACAAATACTGGGTGAACGCAAGTTGCGTAGACACGAGATGTGAGAGGGAAGTTTGTATGGGACATGTGGGCGGGGCCTGTCTTTGACCCCAAAAACATGGCGTCAAAAAGCCCCACTCTCGCACCTACGACTATCCAGTCTAGTTATACGTAGTATATACATGTCTATGAAACTGGCCCCATGAAGCCTAATTTCTACAAGCAGGTTACATTTCCCTCGCTTCGGTGCGACGGGGGCAAAGTGATATAGATAGCGCTTATGAGAAGGTGGTAAGTGCGAGAAAGTTGAAATGGACTAGGTTGTGACAAGATATCGTGGCATTAACGTGTGGCGATGTGAGTAGCGACAACCTCAGGAATTAGTGTGAAACTCTAGTCCTTTCGGCTTCGCTTAGGTGACGATGCCAACATTGCAGACTAAAGCCCCTAGAGTTTGGCCAACTCCAGTCTATATTTTTAACGAATCTGATTGGCTGCCGCGCCTGGGCGTCATTTTGAGTCCAGGAGCCCAGCATCGGCTATATGGGAAGGGTCAGTCCCTTGGGCTTTTTTGGTGATAATGCCCTTCTGTGTGGCTGTTGGATGCTCCAACAGTAGTGAGAATAGATAGAGTATTTCGCCTCCTATCGAAGAGGAATCGTCGGGCCCTTTGGGCTGCTAAGGTGAAAAGAGTGGACACCGAAAGCGAATTCATAGCTCTGTGATGTCTATTGTCTGGTCTAAAAAAGTTATGTAAAGAAACTCCCCCTCACTTCAGAGTATGCTAAGATTATTTAGACCTGTGATGTAAGTCTCTGCTGCTTCCCGCTATTTTTTTTTGAAGACCTATAGGAGGCCAAGATTTGCTACCGCTTTCGCTCATCAAAGTTACTTCCCAATTTTCCTCGCATTTTCTCCATATCTTGCCCATATTCATCTAAGAAATGTAATCTTCATTTATCATCCCTTCCACACATATTTATCTAGATCACGACATAATTGAAGTACTAAAATAGGCCAAGCACGCATAGATGAGATGGATGGGTTGGTGAAATCACAAACCCGGGCCTGGCAGCCTTGGATGCATTACTGGTACGCCTAAAATCAGCAATATGGAGTTTATTTTCTAACAACGACTAGCTTCTCTTCCCCCGTGGATGAATGGCATGTATGACTGGCTCATCAAAATATATACTTGGATTAGTCTTAGTTATATGTAGGGATTTTTATAAATTCATATAAGGAATGTATCAAATGTCAGCCGAGGTGCAAGAAAGGCATTTGAAAGTAATGGATTATGGACGGTGATGTTTGGGAGTGCATCTGATCATTTGGTAACGCATATGCGCATTCAGATCTGGATATGTTGTCAGGGAATTGCGAGAGAGAACTGGGAGACTGAATGAGGAGGAATCAAAATGGCGCTCAGTGCGGGAGTTGGCTGGGCTCTACTGCAGACTGTTCTACAGAACAGTGTGTTCCAGGCACACCAGGTGAGGGCCTAGTATGTTAAGCAGCGTAGTGACACGTGATGCAGTTTATGTAGAAATCAGACATGTCCATTGATCTTCGACGGAACGTGCTGCAATCGTTTCAGGTGCGGGATATTAATACTTTTTTCTCTAAAGGACGTTTCTGCACACGCTTTTTCTTACTAAGCTTTAAATCATGCGAAGCCTCAAAAGAAGGGAATGAGAATAATCATCCCAGCGATTTCGAAATTTTCGGCAGTTACTATTTTTAAGGACTGGAACGGTAAGGCTGTGCGCTCGATTCGCCAAGAGACAAATTGCTACTCTGAAGAAGCATGAAAGCAAGTGAAAGTGTGGCAGGAGAGGTTGCAAATGCATGGTACCATTAGCGCATTGGGCTTTACGTCTGTTCGGAAAAGAGAAGTCTACCCAATACGCATATCGGGTTACCTATGCAACAACGTTCAGGCTGTCTGCAGTGCCAAAGGAGTCTTTACCAGCGATGTCTCATCGTGGCCTGGATCGGTACGCGATAATAAGGGAAATTCTGATGTGAAGGCTGTCACGAAGGGGAAGAGTAATTAGTTGTTGGATGATCTAAAACCTTGGTTAATAACTCGGTTTAAACATCCCACATAGAGAGAAGAGGCGTATAACCATTTGTTCTCACGTGAACGTACAATCATTGAGTGTGTTTTCGAACAGGTGAAGTAATGATTCCCTATACTGGGCTACAAAGTGAGAGCGACAACCGTCTTTGGCGATATTGTGGAAGACGAAATTAGGAAAAGAAGCATAGTAGTATAAAAAGGGTACGTTTCACGGGAGGCGTAATGGAGGCCCAATTTATTATTGATTAACCTCAAATTCATATTAAATAACCTAGGATTACCATTGTCAAACATGAGTGAATATTGATTAGAGGATAATATGTCATGTACCTTTGCGATACGATTTTTCGAATTGAAATTTATTAGGGTATGATTCATGGGCGTTACTTGATTCGTGTCGATTTGTCGAGCGTGAGAGGAATGAGTTTTGTATTTATCGATGTAACCGTATGAAACGATTTTAATATTGGGAGTTTATTTTGATCGAGGGCGATAACGAGTTGAGATTAAGTCAAAAGGGTACGTTTGATGAATTGGCTACGTCAACGTGTTCAGACACGTTGATGACGTCTTTATCGCGTGCCCCCCCCCCCCCCTTTCTTACGACCACGGTCACCCCTGAGGGTCATGGACCCCCTGAAACGGGGGATAGGAGTATTGTGCGTGTTGAGAAAGGAAGTACATTACAAAGACGATGAGGTCAGCACGTCTTTGAACAATTTCAAAGGTTGTACATCTTTACAACAACGGCCCTTCACTGTCAAGGACGAGTCTAAGATGGGAATTGTGTGTGTTTTTATGAAAGAAAATATATGCAAGACCCAGAGGTACGGTTGCCTTTCACTTACACCCACGGACATGTGTAGAAGGGGAGCAACCAATCAAAGAATAAAACAAGCGCAACGATGGAAATAGAGAAACTTTATTAGAAATTACACATCAACAATTTCTACATCAATAGAATCTATATACCAAGAATAAGGGAAAGTTTTGAGTGAGGATGATGATTGTGATGTGAATAGGTTAGCTATCTAAACGTGAGTTGATGAGAGGAAAAATCTTCACACAATATGAAGTTCTGCAGTTGGAACAGGCTAGGGGGTAGGGAATATGATTCTGGTCGGCTTCAATCGTTTCTGTAAAGGAGGAAAGCTGTTATTGAGAGTATTTTTCAGCGAGGAACATATAAACATTTTTTTCAGTGAGCTAATTAACTTGTACGGATGGGAAAAGGTCAGTGCCTCTGATGATGAATGCATACAGGGATAAAAAGATTGTATCAGAAACGAAAATGGTATTACCACTGGACATCATATTTTGCTCGAACTACCTCCGTCTTGAGACATTTTTCAACGTCTGTCTCGTTTGGATACCATCTCACCGACAAACGTAGCGACCCGAGTTTCTCCTCGATGGTCTTCCTCCTGAGTCGATTCTCTCCTTCGAGTCTGAGCACGATAGTATGAGGAGATGTTGCCTCCAATTTCACATGAGCCAATACCGATAAAAGCACCAATGCATCATCTCGCTCTTCTGCAGAGTGTACCCTGATGATGTACATGATCCTAGTAAAGGGAAGAAACTCGAAGTAACGATTCATTGAATCCAAATCATGTATAAATAATTAATTTCTCTCAGGAGAAAACCTGAATGTCACTGAACCATGAGTGTCTCCACGTGAGAGATGGAATGTGTTTTAACACATCTCTGGTTACTTTGATCATGGCTTTGCATCTCTCGAAAAATTAATGTCAATAATCAACGTATTTCTAATATATATTTTAGTTGATGAAAGAAAAGTTAAATAATGGTAACTTTTAACTTTTTCCTCCTTTCTCCTCGATTGTCTCCCAATCTTCACCATAACTGTAAAAGAAAATGTTTAATTACATGAGAGTAAGACGGAATTCAGGAAGGGATATGCAATGATCTTACTAATTGGCCTCTACAGTCTCAAAGTATTTTAAAGATGACATGATTCCATCCACTGTTCCCCCTGCACCTGCTCAAGCGTTTACTTTGCAGGAAGTTCCCCTTAGCCATGTATTGATGACCTCTCTTCCGAGGGCTATGGTGTCACCGCTCGGACGAAGCAAAATAATTCTTTCTCGAGAAGTTGCTTCAATCTCCACGATCCCACCAATGCACTCCTTAACCCATCTTAAAAAATCTTTGCATCCGGTAATGTCATGAAATATATCAAAATATATGTGATGAACAGCATATTATAATTTAAAAAATGCAATGCGAAAGTTTCGATTAGAAAACTCTCCTAAAATGTGATGAGAGATAATCGAAATTGTCTGAACTCACTGTATGTAGGTGTATATAGAGGATGGTCTTTACATCAACTTCATACAGAAAGAAGTGAGGAACTGCCAGGGGGAAACTTGCTACGAAGTGATGGGATTTGGCTTTTCAAATAAACATATTTTGTTAGGAATGGGGGAAATGGAAAGAAAACATTCATCCCCACGACCTTGTCCATTTGTCCCGTGATGATCAAACCATACAAGGTTTTAACATTACCCATCGTGATATCCCTGCAACCGAAAAAGATAATACCAAACCTAAAAAGAATATGAGCTCAGCATGTCTTTTAATAATTTTAAAGTCGTAACGACCTAGTATACTTCCGAGAAAAATACCATGACTTCAGCATCTCTTTTTCAAAGACACGTTGACCTCGTGTACTTGCAAATGATACTCCTATGTTGTCCTTTATTATTTTTTCTTTATTCCGATGTGTCAACAAAAAACGTTTCACAATCGTGTCATGGAATGATGGGGGAAGATGAAAGGGATACATTTCTTTCACGCTGTGGCCAAGACATCGACGAATGAGGTAGAAAATGACGTGGACCCCGCATGTTTTTGCCCTTGAGCTCTGAACTTGAACGTCGTTGTAGACAACCGATTTTCCCCCATGCTCGCTCACGAATCTTTCAAATGTATCTCCATAAAAACCTGGAAACCGACCGAGGCTATCAAAAAACTCCACTTGACCCTTTCTCTCCAGGAAGAATGCAACGAAATGTCGTCCACGTTTCTTTTGGCTGCAACATTTGGAAACGATACATACCGGGAAGGATGGGAAGTATACATACTCTATTTGATCTGATGCATAAGTCCCTCGATATTTTCCCATACAAGCAGGGTGATGTCTCAAAACTGCATCGATCGTGCGGGAATCCATTTTGCACGAGTACACTGCGAGGCTCCCCCATTTATACTCTGAGCAGATGATTAAAGAGGAAATCTCGTAAATACTTGACGGTCTTTGGTAACTTCGATATGAGTATCAAAGTAGCCCATGAGTGTTAGTACCAGGTTATTTTCTAATGCTTTCGCAAAGGACATACCCAGCTTCAGGTGGCCGGTTCTAAAGAAAGGCTGCTCTGAGTGTGCCAGATCATGGCGATCTGGCACACTATGGTTTGAACTCAAGTCGAAACAAATCATGAAACGGCGAGTTCCGTAGGACTTGAAATCTAATTCCATATTGGCATTTCCGACGGCATCCAGTGTCACCAGGTAGGGTTGTGTGACGGCATTGGTTTCGGTATCGAGGTTCACGCTATACATTGTTATCCCATCGATCGTCACCGATACGTTGTTGCAGAAAGCATGCTCTGTCTTGAGCGGGTCCAAACTGTAATCACCTAAAATAGCTGTTTCGCTAAACAAAGCAAGAACCATTCTCTTACGTTGTTGCAGAAAGCATGCTCTGTCTTGAGCGGGTCCAAACTGTAATCACCTAAAATAGCTGTTTCGCTAAACAAAGCAAGAACCATTCTCTTTGGAATGTAAGAACCGAATACATTTTCGCAATGATAACTTTTAATTCCCTTTAGGAGTGCGTGTGTCTTTAAAACTCTTCTCTCCACTGGATAATGCAATACAGATCCACTCAGTGCTGTCTCCAATGCCAGATTAGCCGAGGAAACTGGTATTGCAAAGTGCAGAGCTTTAAGTTCGAATCCTTAAGTCCACTATCGGGACATAATGAAAAACATATAACAAATCCAAATCGCGGTCTTGAATATTATTACCAGGTCGCGACGGGATGGCATTACTCGGCAGATAGCGTTCATATCTCCAGCCGGTGATATTCTCATCGAGCATTCGGTTAAAATTTGGACGGGGAAACCGTGATAAGATTGATGTTTTATTCCCCGAAATCGGAAGGTAATATCTTGAAGTTGCGAGAGAAGTGGTGAAAGTAATCTAATGGTGAAACTCAATCAAATGTATCCTGTGCCCTGCGCGATTTAGATACAATTTTCTTCTTGTGTCGACGTCGTTTACCAGTCCTTGACTGCATAGCTCGTTTAGAAATGTTCCCTTTTATAGATTTTCCTTCCTTCTTCTTTTTCGAAACAATTTTATGTTGTTTCACTCGCTTCAACTTCAACTTTGATTGTTTTCCTTTCTTTTCGTCTTCTTCGTTGACGGATGTAATGACGACAACGACGAAAGAGGCAACGCGTGAGTCCTCGAAGGAAACAGAAAAGACTTGACCATGTGACCTCCTCCACCACCGTACTGTCGGGAAGTAGACGATGTAAACGTTCCAGACAGGAGTCGACGAAACTCATCGGTACTGGGGGGGAACGAAAGGTACGTTATTCATTTCTCAGTGAGAAGCACGTAGTCAGGGGTTAGGTGTTGACGCTGGGATGTATAGAGAGGAAATGAAAGTCAATCTGATCGCCACTCAGTCATTTATTTCCGGTAAAATGTGATTTACGTAGATGATCATTGGAAGGCGGCTAAACGCAAATGCAGCTCAATACGAGAAAAGGAATTAGGTGGGAAAAGGATCACCCTCTCCTCCTGATCAACGATACGAATATGTATGTCCTCAATTACTTTCACACCGAGAGGTCTGTAGTATACCGAATTGAAGCGGACCTTTTTCCCGAATTCAGAAGGGGAAATGAGACGTAGTGAAGGACTGGTTTTTCCATTGATATAGACCGGTGCGGAAATGTTGCACGTGAGTTTAAAGGTAAGCAGGAAATCCGGTGCTTTTTCTGCCAAGTGTTCCTCTTGACACACATATTCTTTGCCAGCCTCAAACCCCAGAACTCGAGCAATATTGCTTCCAAAAGTTATTATATCATCATCATGATGACGTATGTCTCAAAGTATGTCAATCTGACGCGATTCACTCTTCGTAGATACAAAGATAATGCAATGGGTAAATTCGAGTAAGTGGACAGATTTTTCAGACTCTCGTTAATTTGCCCAATTGCGTTCACGTCCGAGTCGTAACGACAGTCGATGGAAGAATCTGTGTGCAATCCCCTCGATCTCGAAGAGATTCTCAGCTTGTTCTCGGCATAGCGGGAGGAGAGGACGAGGTATTTATCGCTCGTTTCGACTTCCGTAATTCCGATCTCTGTAGGCAGCGACGCGTGAAGTACGATCGGAGGAGAGAGTTTGCACTTTAATTCTCCGGGATTGTCTCGCTCGGATAGAAGGTAGAGATACGTCTCTGTACTTTGTATATCCATGCGTATCCCAACAAGAAATGAAAGGCGAGGGTCATAGGACAACACATATGTATGTATTTATTGATGCAAAGATATGAAGAAAAAGAAATACAGCATTCAGGTCTGCGAGGTATCGGGCACGTCCTGGACGTCAGACGTCAGATATACGTGCTCCATTCCTGTTCTAACATTGCCGCCTTGTCAACACCATTCATCTCGCTGAAACTCGTCTCCCAATCCAGTTCCCGCGGTTCGATTCTCGAGAAAAGGTTGGGCGCAATGCGTAGCGCTTTCTAAATGACCCTCGCCCAACGCAGAGAACATTCGTTCTTGGAATATCCAATCCGAAGATGCATCGTGCACGGTTCACTCCAGGTGGATTCTATTTGCGCAATATCTGCTGGTGACAGGATCGAGCGAATGTCGCTAGCTTCACGTCCGATCAAATGTCGAAGGAGTAGAGCCTCCTCGTTTCCCCAACCCCAAGTAAACACACCAGCTGTGATATCGTTCGTGATGAATGACAACATCGGTTTGAGATATCGACAAGGCAGCTCCCATATCCAAGGAATCTCGTAAGGAAGGCCGGTGAGGCTCTGCTCCTGTACAACCACCAACTTTTGTTCCCTGAGCGTCAAGCTGTTCCGTGGATATGGCATCTCGATGATGAAGGTTAGGGGTGCCGAGTCTCCAGTCGGACGCAGGAGAGAAATTTCTCTTTCCACGCACAGCAAAGGAACAGGAGCTAAAAAATATTCCCTTCATCCTCACGACTGAATGTATCCGCTGACTCGTCAGTTGGCAAAGACGGAACGGAACTGTGAGACAAGTGGATGTGGTTCTCCTTTTTTAAAAATCACCTCTGCTCAGCTTGCTCATTGTATACGTGGTCTTGTAAACTGTCTCAATAATTATGCCAAATTACTCTTGGTTCCTTATGTTTCGCCATCGTAGTTGTGGGTATTTCTTGTCTGATCTCATTTTTCTTGAAAGAACTCATCGTTCATGAACTCTTTTGCCTGTGTATTGTGAATGAGTATTTTGGGGCAATTTTTATCAAGCAAGAATTTTAGAAACCTCTCAATATGAGGTGGAATTTTACTCAAAGGATTTACCAGAAATGATATATAATCAAATATATTAGAATTTTGGAGGCTATTGTTGCGTATCGTGACACGTCCATCCTCTTCCCACCTCAACTCTTCTGGTGAGATTTGCGTAAGATACAATGAAAGGTCCTGTGCCCGCCTACGATAACGGTCGGGAACACCATAGCATGGGAGCGCATCTCTTTGCAGCGACAGCGGCAATTTCTCCCTGTTCATATCCTCTTGGTGTGCTTCTTTCATGTTATCGTGGGCTGCGATTTGTCTGTAGATGACTTCGGGGAGCAATACGAACTTCTTCATATCCTATATGAGAGATGCTAAATACTCGACAAGTAGAGGTAATATGAGGAAAAGGAATTCGTGACCATCTTTTTTCAAAATCGATTTCTTGCTCCTTCTTGTCGCATTTGAATTGGCAAGAATACGAATGACTCTTCTATGCGTTTGCAATAGATGGACCTGCTCGGAGGGAAGGTGCAGAGAATTTAAGAGTACGTTCTTGCATATTTCGGAAATGACCCTCGGCTGCCCTTCAGTCACGCATGTTAGAGCACAATGAATCTCTTCTCGTGTTGCCTGTGCTAAATATAAGATAAACGGCCAGTGTCTTCTAATTAGAGCGAAAGTATCTAAGGTTTCCTTACACCTAAGCAATGGACGACGATGGAGAGGCTATCAGGATAGTCTACGAATTGTGTTTCATACTCTCGTTTTCCACTCTCGGGATTTATGCGAGAATCCAAGACTCGGACGGGATAGTGAGACTCCTCCTGACTAGGTGTCAACTCTCCCCAATAGAATACCCCGGGAATGTGATTATCACTGTCAAGTTCTCTCAGTTTATATATACGGGGAACCGTATCCATTATCTGACCAACTTTATATAGTTGTCTACTGTTTAATGGGAAATACCCCCGTGCGAAACGAAAGGGATTCTCCTTGATCCTAATACTACCTTCTTTGATATTAATTATGTCATCTCGTTGTTTTTGCAGCTGTTCTAATTTTTTTCGCCTCTCTTTGTTCTCTTTCATAGAACCATAAATCAGTCTGAATAGGGATTCATTATCTATCCCCGTCTTCCCTTCGTTCACTTGGCGGGGTGAAAGTCTCCCTTTGAAGGCAGAATGGGGGCTGTACTTTATGGCTTGGACAACTTGGGGAAGGATTGAAAGCCAAGAAAACGTGTTCTTGTCATGAAGTATCCTAAAGAGACGCTTCTGTAACGTTAGATTAGCTCTCTCTGCAAGTATCGATTTTAAGCCCGTGCCTGTGCTGTACCGTTCGATTCGAAACTTGTTCAGAAGAGCATCCATGGTCCTATTGTAAAACTGTCGGCCGTAATCGACGTGTAGTTTTTTGTAGCCGGGCACCTCTCGGAAAATCCTCTCCATAGCATTCGCAACCTCTTCTTTCGACTTATCTTTGAGGGCAAATGCCCTGACGAATCGAGAGAAACCGTCTACTGTAAGCAGTATGAACCTGAACCCCTCGTTTTCATTCGCCCACTTTTGCATGTCGATGAGTTCCGCAGTAAGGATCAAGTGCGGCCCACCAGCTAAAAACTTGCGTCTATCGAAATTTCCTTTCTTTCTGACAATGTATATGATGGTTGAGATTTTAGGAAATCGAATACATCTCGTCTTTTCAGAGATGGATTTTTTTTCTCGTAAACGTGAATAACCTCTCAGGGCTGGCATATCCCAGGGAATGATTTGAATTTCGGTATAGCCGCCTCATGTAAGAAGTGAAGCGTCGAATCCTGGCTTTGCTCCTTTTGGGCATTTCACTATTCTTGCTGATGTTGTTTCCTATACCTTTTCAAGTCCTTTTCACGTACGTAAATTGAAGGAGGTTCAGTGAGTGAAAATATTCTCGTTCGTACAGAGAGCAGATGTGCAGTGGAAGAGGACAGAAGGAGATCAAGTAATAAATACCCATATCCATCGCAATCGAGTACACTGTCCTCATACGCCCGTGCTAAAAAGTCGCTACCATCACCAAAATTTTTGCATGCAAATAGTTGAACCTGACCCGTTTCCCTGAGTCTGAATAATACAAGATAGTGGGCGTTTAGCAGAACATCTCTTCTATACTTTCCACTGCTGGGAAATATGTAATGTCAGCAAACAGGCTACTCAAAGGTGACGACCAGCTGTGAATACTTGAAACACAGAATTCAATTGCAAGGCTTGAAGTTCTAGATCGTCGATTATGATGCATGTGTTGTGTACATCCAGGGAGAACATATCTAGCAGTTGGTTGGGAATACCCAGACAAAAAGTCACTTCACACTTTGGATTATGCCGTAGAGCAGCTGCTTTCATCTCTTCATAGATCTCTTGATACTGAGCGTAACAGATTATCAAACGATTTCGTTCGATGATTCAAGTAAGATTTTAAAAAAGAACGACTTGCCCGTACCCGGTTTCCCAACGAGAATCACGTTGCTACTGGGGCGAAAATGAATATCTTTCTCTGACAAATGTATTTCCATGTTCGCTCTCCTCTGTGTGTGCGTGTGTGTGTGTGGTTGTGCTCACGTCTCGCATAGTAGTGAAAATGTAAATCTAAATCTCTGTAAATTTAAAGAATAAAAGCATCGGTCTCCTTTGAGCAAAAGGAAGCTTTTCTACCATGAGAAAAGTAACAAGAAAATTTTTCAAAACAAATTTATTTAGAAGACTGTGAAAAAATAATTTTATTTCACAGCAATTCATTCTCAAGCAAACAAAATAAATAACACACACTATATTACTTTTACTTTTAAATCACACTAATGTGAAATGAAGTCTTACAAGAGAGGGAGAGCGGAGGAGGGGGAGAGAGAATGTCAGAGAAGGAAAATACTTAAAGTGGCCAAAAAACTTGTTTTTCTACTCACAATTGTCACAATTCTCCTCACCCTCGTTTCCCTCAACAACTTCCGGGATGCGATAATGAACATATGGAAGCGTTTTAAACTCTCCGCTAGGAGTTTGATAGAGGTAAACTTTATCATCATACATCAACTCTGTACGTTCAAACAGAAACGTCATGGTCAAGTCTCTTCGGAACGGATAGAGACGTTTGTCACTGAAAAGTTTCGTCCCGTTGACAACGCCTCTCGATACTTGCAATGGCAAAGAATGTCCGTTGTCTTGGAATTCTGATTCATGCCTTTCGCTCGAACAATTGTTCATTTTTACCCGCAAACAAAATCGAGTACATCTTTGGACGCAGACAGATAAGCTCAGAGATTATCCTACCACAAGTTTCGTCTTTGCATCTCGTCAGGGCAAATTCATTCTCTTGAGAATACAATGGATGATCGAGAGGAAGGCAGGAGAAGTCAAAGTGGTTTTTTAAATGATTAACTCTAGTTCTCTGAATGCATCTGGACTCTTCACATGTATCAAATAGGAATCAGTATCTTGATAGCACAGCTTCAAAGAGTCAAGATCATATGTTTGACCTGTATATTGGTCAATCCCTCAGTTTCTTCGGTCTCAAGAGGAAATCGTTTCTGGGGGGGGGGGGGGGGGAGGGAGAAAGGTGCATGCATAATTAAAATATGTTCTCAGTTCCATCAGATGAAAGTTGATAAGCGATAGAGGTTACTTGCTTGTGGGGTGGGGGGGGGGAGGGGGGGGGGGGGGGGGGGGGGGGGGGGGGAACTGCCCGTAGAGAGAAGCTGCTTGACTCACTCTTATTCTATTGGAGGCAGATTCCTCATCTCCAGCACCCCTTATTTTCTAGGATACAGACGTGGAACTCTCCGGAGATCCACTGTAGATTCTTACAGCAGTGAGACCCTTCGCTCAAGGCGAAGGGTCTCAAAACAATTTTCCTGTAACACCCATGTGGAGCTACATCAATTCCTTAGCCAAAATAATCGAAAGTTTTGAAAATAACGCGCGAAAGCTACACTATATCCAGGCATTTTACATGCATACATTTAGTTTAGACGAGATGTCATCAGGGAAAGTCGTAATCTCAACAGACTTGCTAAACGGGCTCCCTGTAACGAACGTATCAATAATCCTGAATAAACCAAAAGCTTTATGTTTGGTTCCCGCCACAGTCTCCCTCAATCACAAAACAACAATTGAACAAGTACACATTCACACTACTAGGGATAACTTTATACTGCCCCCTGAGCTTCACCCACCACATATCTCATCTCTACTTTTCTTCTCTCCACCTGTTCTAAAATCTACATGCTCCGCAAGGCTAAACTCCTGCAACTTCCATCCCGTACTTGTCTACTGAACTACCATGCACTAATATCCCCTAACATTATCTGTCCACTACCTATTTATTCCAAAGCCAATAAATCAGCTCCGAATTCAATCACTGTTTGAAAACAAGGGATTATAAATATCCACTCAAGATCCGGGCACCATCCCACTCCCTCCCTTTTCACTCAATAAATGGCTCTACATTGAAGATCTTTCATCCTGCCTCATCTCACTGCTAATGATGAGAGGTTACGAGGAGCGGTTCCGGTGGAGATTTTCTACATATCTCGCTCCCACACATCCATGAAATCATGCCTCCCACAAACCCTCACATGAATGTAAGACCATCTTAATCAACTAACTTTCCCACTTATTTTGTATTCTTCTCTTCCTATTCCCTTTGCACAGTTTGGTATATTGCCTTACTGTCAGAAATGAATTATTTTCACAAAATGTCCATGTACAAGTTACTGCCATGTACTTATAGGAAAGGATGAACAACATGTGTTATGTCCCCAATGTCCACAAAACAACTGACCTTTCGGTTGAGCCCCTGTACAGTCAGATTACGTGAACAATTAAATTCATTCATATCTCTCGTTTGCATTTCATAAATCTCTACAAAACTCGGTGGCTGAAAGAGGATGGCTCTGTTGGCCTCATTGAAGTACTCCCTAACGTAATTCAGGCGCTGTCAGACAACACCAAGTGGAAAGTTTCTGCTTCAGCGAATTCTCTCTATCCATATGTCCAGAGGAAGTGCATTGGATGACCTTGTGCAGCCTCCGATCCCACATGATAGGAATCTGACCCTACGTGTAGGTCAGTGCGGTGCTAACATGAAATGAAGGATGTGTCCATATTCCCCATATTGGCGTGCATTAGTGCAGTGTTGTCAACTTTAAGAGGTTAGCACTTTGCACAAGCATCCTAGAGGGACCATAGAAGAACTTTAACAAGTGGATTCTGTATCCATGCTGCTATTAGGACATATACACTTCAGTTGCTCGAGGCTCATATTAGTTTCAGGATCTTGAGACAAAGAATCGCATGCATATCACTTTCAAGACATCGATGTATCCCAAATTCCTGTGAGAACTGGATCAATGAACAGGTCTGAACATCTCGAAAATTGCATGTGAAGGGCCATATGTCCCCCAACCTAACCTATTTAATATAGAAAGGAAGAAGTTCCACATAAGAGTAAATGGTAAAAAGGACGTAGTATATTTTTAAGGGCGACATGCTGGCCATTGTGTACAGGGTGACAATAAAGTCTGTAGACAGTGAATTTTCTCCCCTCCAAATCAATCAAATAATGTGATTTTTTGTGTGCGCATAGGCAATGCTGTCATGCACAATATCCTAGTTTCATTTCTCTAGTGCAAAACGTCAGGATGCTATGCCAGCGCGAAGCCATCATCGGACTCCACAAATCTGGAAAGTCAGTTGCAGAAATTGTTCGTCTACTTGGTGCGCCAAGTTCCAGTGTCTACAAGGCCGTGAAACGCTTCAAGGTTCTTGGTACAAGTCTTGACTACCCCAGGAGTGGTCGCCCAGCAACTGTCGATGTCCCCAAGGTCAGGAAACGAATGCAACAACTGCTCAGACGCAACCCCAACCGCTCCATGCGTTCTGTTGCCTCCACCCTTGGTATTAGCCGCGAGTCTGCTCGAAAGATAGCCAAGGACAGGCTAAAGTTGAAGCCTTACAAGGTTCAAAAGGTGCAGCTGCTAACTGCACAGCAACAAGCCAGGCTGCAAAAAGCGAAAGCGCTACTCAAGAGGTTCGGTCGCAAGGGGTGGGACAAAATTCTCTTTACCGACGAGAAGACCTTCACTGTAGCTCAGCATTTCAATCGCCAAAATGACCGGTTCTGGCTCCGGAAAAAGCACCACGCTGGCCGCTTCTGGAAGCATGTTCAAAAGCCCAAATCTGTCATGATTTGGGCTGGGATAACAACCGAACACAAAACTCCCTTCCACATTGTTGCCCCAGGGGTTCAGGTTAACAAGGTTCTGCTTCCACAGCTTCCAGAACCTGCAGCCAGGTTCTTGAAGCTGTGGTGCAACCTTGGGCACCAACCTTGGACTTTCCAACAGGATTCCGCACCTTCACGTGCATCCAAAGTCGCAATTCAATGGATCAATGCCAATTTTCCGGATGTTATCAGCCCTGACGAATGGCCCTCCAGTTCACCAGATTTTAACCCTATGGACTTCTCGATTTGGGCAATTCTAGAGCAGAAGGCATGCTCCAAACCCCACAGGCGCTTGGCCTCTCTTATCATCTCCATGAGGAAAGCTTGGGCAGAAATACCCCAAGAAGTGTTGTGAGCTGCAGCCGAATCATTCATCACACGTTTGAGGAAAGTTGTCAAGGCCAAGGGTAGCTACATTGAACATGAATAAAAATGTTGGTCACGCTAGGTAGGTTCTTTGTGCAGAAAAAAAATAAATCCAATTTCTTCAAACTACCCAGAGAAAAGTGCAAAAGTATGTGTCCACAGACTTTATTGTCACCCTGTATATAAGCTTAAACTGACGAGGATGAGTCCTCCGGAATTCAGCTTGATTCCATAGGAAAGTTCTTGGGCAGAGAAAGCTCATTGTCGTTGATGGTTTTTGAGCCTGTTCCATGGGGCTCTTATACGCTTCAGAACATAGCCATTATTGCCCTTTGGTGATGCCTCCAAATAAAGAAGAGCAAATTCATATCGGAGATGGTTTATTGAATCTCCCAAGTTTTTTTTTTTAAATCAAAAGGAGACGATCATTGAAAATCTTCAGGAAATTTCTTACAAACATACTGTGCTGGATAAATGGTATGTAGATCATTCCATGAAGAGGTGATAGATACCGCGCATTCCCCGCCGTTGTCAGTCGGATGCTCTGGTTCCCATCGATCTATAACGAAAGGGGCTCCATTTACCCATTTCCATTCCCCCGACATTCGTCTCAATCCAACCCAAAACTCCGTCCACTTCGGCAGGGGATGCGGAAAACGAGAATTAACCTCAAAACCTTTCGCCATGTTTCTTTTCGTCAGCTCCAATAGAGAGGATGTCCGCTCCAGGAAATGACAGGCAATATGACCGGGCTGCATCGAATGTGGAGGCTTGTGTGGAGACGTGCAAGCAAGAGTCATTAACATAACAGTACCAGTCCTGACCAAAAGATAATGCGGATTGGCAAATCACTGGCCTGGTCTCCAGACAGTCTCTATTCACCCAGTGGTCTGGGACGAGAATGATTCCGCACTCTCCTACGAAACAATGAAAAGGACTACTTGTGAGGTATTGCCAAAGATTATTATAATCACTGGGCGAGCCATCAACGAATTCAAAAGTGATGGGTATCCCTTCCGATTGTGTCGTGATGATTGCTCCGATCCACAGAATGGGTGTCTTGGAATAGTTCTGAAGGAAAAGCTGTTCCTCCTGAGAGTGAACACTCGCAAGTTGGGCATTCCTCGCTTCACAATCCGCTTGCGCATCTATAAATAGCAATTCTTCCTCGGAGAAAAAGTAGCAACCTGTACCAAATTCTTCCCATCCATCTTCGCATTTGGAAACGGTAATATAGGTGAGACTAAACCGGAATCCATGTTGGTCGTCGCCATCCGAGACGAAGTTGATATCGAGGGCATTTCCAACGGACTCGATGGTCCTGGGATGATCTCGACCGCAGAATACATAATTGTCATAACCGGGTTCGGAAACGACGAGATAGTCACCATGGGTGCAGAAAACAGTATCCTCGATGAAGAAATCATTGAATGAGAGGATGATTTTTCGGGTTGGCGGAGCCTTAAGAAAAAACAAGAACACAATTTGGTGCATTTTTTCCCTTACAAAGCATGCGAATTTCTCAGAATATCATCTGGTTACTTTTCCTGTTATGTACATCAAACTTATTTTGATTGTTTTTTTTTTCAACGAACATTTTAACGCGAGCCTCATCAGGTTTTCGCCTTTTAACCAACTTTTTTTTTACTTTGGAAACCTCATGATGACTATAAACCCATGCCAAGCATTATCATGGGTCTATGGTCGGAGGGCTTTTATTCGCTCATACCATGAGAGGTTCAAGTTCACGTGTCACTGAGAACGTATTAATACACTTACATCTACATCATCAAATATTTCATTATTGTACGAATTCGTAAATTTTAAAAAATATAAATGCATGTTTAAAAACATTTGTCTTCGCTTCACCAAAGCATTCAGCTTATTGTTCGCAGGTGCCTGATTAACATTCTCCCGTCTCAAAAAATGGGAAAATTTAATCTCGAAATTTTGCAAACCCGAATAGTGCCTGATTTTACGATTGATTTTGACAGACCATTGAATACATAAGTGGTAAACATCTACAATTGATACAAATAATGATTGCGAAAAGCAACAATTATGAAGGAAAAGGCTGGAAGAGTGTTCATATTATTCTGCCTCACTCCCTTCGCTTTCGAGACACAACAAACCCCATCACGTCACCCCTGGAGAAAAATCGTAGAATGGAACATTTTAATGTACACGTTAGTATATACAGGGTGGGTAAAAAAAAAACGGTCCTCTTCTTTGAGACCTTTTATTGACAAAAAAAATGCAAGAAAAAATTCAAACCTGACTACACGGAACTTCAATCAATTCTCTGTCTCGTGCTAAAAAGTTTTTTTTCTAGATATTTCAAGAGAAAGCATAAAATTCAGCACTTGAAAAAAATTTGTCATGCAGAAAAATCGTTTTTCCATGTGTATTTCCTTGCGTCACCTGGTGGAGTCACGAGCCGGTTGCCGGCTTCGCTGGTGCGCCCATCAAGCACCCCACATTCCTATGACATTTTCCCCCTGCCCCCTTTATTCTCGTTAGACCGGTTTCAGTTCCCCCTCCCTCATCAAATGCTCAATCTGCCTATTCTTCATTCTTTCCATTTTTCATTCTTTTGATCAGCCAGCAATGAGCGTGCTAGCTTCGCCCTTCGGCCTTGAGCAACTTCTTGGCTGAGGGCGTGATCGGCAGCTGCTCACTCCGCGGTCACCAGTTCTTGTCTGCGTTTCTTTGTCTTTTTTGTTTATTGTGATTTTATTCATATTCTTGACTTGATAAATTCATTATAACTTTTTTTTTGCCCATCCAGAATGGTTTTAACCGATAGTGACAAGTGCATTATCCAAGCACTTCGCGAAGAAAAAGGNTGCCCATACCGCTCTGGCAACAATTCAGTGGCTTCGTGAAAACTGTCCTGATTTCATCGAACCTGAAAATTGGCCGCCCAATAGCCCTGACTTAAACCCAGTCGATTATTTTGTGTGGTCCGCGTTGGAAGAGAAAGTGTATCGCGGGCAAAAAATCCGGTGTGTCGCTGAACTGAAGGAACGAATCCTGGTAGCATGGGAAGAACTTTCACAGGGCTCAATTGCCACTGCCATCCTCAAGTGGAAAGGGAGATTGAAGGCAGTTATTCGGCAGAAAGGTGGCCATATTGAGCCATACGTCAAACGATGAGCTTGTGCTAAACTTGCGTTGGTTTTGTATTTCTTGTGTTTCAACGTGAAAAGGCTCTGTGCTTGGTAAAAAAGCGTGTTTTTCAATTTTTTTCAGCGGAAAGTTTTTTTCAAATCAATTTATCTCCTGTGTTTTTCGGCGGAACTCAATTGCAACTGATATCATTGGAAAGCGAATTAAATGAACTTTCATTTCATTTTTGTTAAATTCTTCTAGCTCAATTTGGGACCGAGATGTAAGGTTTCAAAGTAGAGGACCGGTTTTTTTTTTACCCACCCTGTATATTGGGTTCGGGTTTGAACCATGCGCCATTACTAATCAACAGTTTTCGTGTCGCGGGTTAGATTGAAGTTCTTTTGGGCTGGAGATGACTCGTTTTCGATGTTCGTAGGCGAATATATTCATATTTAGACTAATATTATTTTATATTATAATAGTGAAAATATTCTCTAACGAAGACCTAACTTCAATGATCCATCGACAGTCCACGTTGGCAGGATAGGCATCGGGGTAGCCAGGAGACTTCATCTCCCCTACAGCTTCGGTGAGCAGTCCACTGCATTCCAGGGAGGCCGCGGCGCCCAGGATGTAGAAAAGTCCTAGGAACAGGCTTGCTAACATATGACCCTCCATCTGCACGTTCCAGATAGCAAAGACCGAGTGGTTCCCCTTAGAGCGAACAATATTAAACTCAACGGGTTCACTTTTCTCCTCTTCCTTCGCGTCGAAGCACCAAAGATACCGAAACAACGACACCTGCGTATGACCGCACCACTACGATGGTGATGCTCTCTTCAGAAAGTCCGTTGACTGAGAGGATAGATCCTCAACTTTATAAGGAAACGTACTGGTACTTATGATTCGTCACGCTTTCCATCCCATGCCTTTTTCCCACGATAAGGTTGAAGTGCCATGGCTCATGTGATTCTCATGCTTAAGAGAAATTTGATTCATTTCAGATTATTAGTATTTGACGGTGGAGTGCTTTACCATTTTTATTTGTTCGAAAACTCTGACAATGCCAGTCAAACAAATGGAAACTAAAGATCATATTCATGGACTTCCTGCTAATCTTCAGGACCACTTCTTAACGATATAATCTTTACCGGTAAAAGTTTGATGAAAATGCCATGTCCAAGTCTGCAATGCGTTTCATATGGAAACATGTAGAGGCAGTTTCTACAAAAGAAAATTTCCTCGACCAAAGCGTGATTGTGTATTAAGGAATCTATTATCTGAAGTTCCTACTTGGAGCACCCAAGTGGCCTGAAAGGTCTGTAAGGATCTTTCAAGGCCTACATTTTCCATGGACCAATAAAAATAAAACTTGAGAGCAAATACCAACATTAACCCTTGACATGGTACATTTCATCGTGAGATAATAAACGAAAAGAGTTTCTGTCATGGGTTACTGGAACAACAGGAGACGTCTTGATAAGAAACTTAAATTCATTAATAGTCTGTGGAAATCCTGCACCTCCTTTGAAGAAGAAGTTTGATTAAGGATTGAAATACGTTTGCACTCACCCTTAAAATCGATCGCATTTATGATAAAGGGAGCTTCTAGCCGAGGCTAGAAGCTCCCTTTATCTTTGTCGTGGCTCAGTTTTCAAGTTTTCAGAAGAAATTGAGAGGAGCTCCACATGGAGTAAGAAATTTTGTGAAGACATAATTTGTCCTATTCTCCTCTGTGTGCAACTCCCCCTAGAAATCCCAGATTAGCTAGGCCTAGTAAGTAATGAAGGTCGATACAAAATTCCCCTATGGACATTTCAAATGTTTCATCCTCCAATTAGCCTTTCATCTTGTCCCTCTCATCCCTCTCCTGCTATGGATATCTACGTCTTATCATGCGCACTAGTACGCGTGGTCTCATTCTTCCGCCTAGCCAATGCATAGAAATGAATAGGCTGGTAGGGGTGTCAGGCTAACTCAGCAAAATCTTTGGTGTGATATATCGAAAAGTTCCAGGGTGTGAATGGATTAATACAGTGTGTTTCACTTGACTAAGACACCTACGCGAGGGCGCTGGTGCCCCTTGGTGACTAGCGACATCTTTCTCTCCCTCGAATATTTCGGCTTTTTCATATGAATCAAAATATATACTGGAAACGATGAACCGCATGCACAGCCATGATGTCAATGGGAGACCTTCCTTGCAGTATATTTAAATGAAAGGGCTCTAAGTTTTCAATTTCCCATCGGCTCAAAGATGTAGAAACACGTGGATCTGGGGTTGTCCATCGACTTACAATCCAGTTAGATTGGCGAAGGTTCATACTGATTTTCCTCTCTTCAGCAGGGAATTAATCATCATCGTTGTCGCCAATGTCATCACGACATCTGCACTTAAGAATGGAACTAGTTTCTGCGTCGATCAACATGCACCGTTGTCGAAGTCAAGTGAAAAACACTTAGTGGTCAATACGTTGGCACTCGCAAAGCGAACAGCACTCGCCACATCTTCAACATCTTATTTAGAAATATTCAATATTTCACCTCTCCTTACGTCCAATATCTTCTGAAATTGGATAATTTCCTGTGAGTGCAATGAATCCGCCAATGCCCATTTTCGAAAATACTTGTAATGAGGCGCAGAGTTATGACAAAGCAAAGAGATTTAGATGGAAAAAAAAATATGTAAACACTTCCCAGTCTGATACAGTCTGCGCAGGTCTTCTTGCAAACCATTTTATCTTTCGGTGAATGTGGAGCCCCACAAAAGGGCCTCTCGTGACACCGAAGAAACACTCGAGTCATGAGTTTCCAGGAACCCTGATAAGTGCCCATGTACCTGTGCATCCCAACTATATCTCCGCCTGCGGACTTCACTTCCCCCTGTGCATAAACTGGCCAGGATTCCGGAAGAGATAATCTAAATACCATAGGGTTTTCCCTGCCACTCCGTTCCCACAGGTCCGATGTTGGGATGAAAGCACTTCATCGCAATACTGTTTCTCAGAGTTCGCCATTCGCTTTTCTTTATGGACTATTCAAACAAGTCTCATGTGATGCTATGGGATTGAACTCGATAAGTTTGGAATATCCTACTAAAAAATCGGAATTGAGATTGCGTCATGTATTCTGAGTCCTATAATCTATTCCCCACAGGTCTTATTCCAGAGGTATCGGGGAAGTGGAATGGTAGACCGGGCTGGTACATCTTCGCTGAATCCTAGCCATTCATTTTCGAAGTAAATGCTCAGTTATTCGGGCATGCAGCTACTGTTTGCATGAAAGGCAGGAATAGAGAGAAAATCAGGAAGTTGGATGTAAATAACGTTTAAAAAGTAGAGATTGGCATCATTGATGAATAGAGGCTCTGGTTTTTACAGCAACAGGCCCGGGAAGAAGTGATAGAAAACATGAGTGTTGTCTGAGAGTAAAAGAACAGTACGTGAAATGAAGAAGAAATTGTTTGTCGAGTGGGTGCAGAAATTCTGGTCTCCGCTACCCCTTGCCCTCCTATTACAACACCAAAACTCAACCACGTTACGCACATGAAAGCCCTCGTAGTCCACTGGAGAGCGTGAATCAGCTGAAAAAAACAACTGAATCAATTCAAAGACCCAATTGCTTAATCACCTGGCTCAGACGAATTCGAAAAACTCACTGCCCAACAAAGAATAAGATCTAAAATAAGGAACAGAATCAGGAGAGAAGAAAGCCAGCAGCCATGATGGCGAAATAAAAAAGGCGACATTGCACGATATGTGATCTGCTAAACTGGCAATCTGGATCCGAAGCAGCTTTAAATGCAAGGCTGGGCAATATTCCATCACTAGCCCAGAAGGCCCAGGATTGCATACATCAATATTGCTCAAAATGGAGAATTGTAATGAACTCCACCAAGTCCACTGTACTTTTAAGCAAGATTCTTGATCCCCCCAGATATCACTTGGTGGCAAATTCATCCATCCCCTATTCTTCTAATGTCAAATTCCTTGGTCTCACCTTCCAAGGTAACTTCCATTGGACTAAACACGTTGCAAACCTTGGAATGAAAGCTACACGTAAACTAAACTGACTAAAGATAATAAGTGGAACCAACAGATGCAATCCAGGAACAGTACTGCACCTTTATAAGGCCTACAATCGGGCATGGTCAAATATAGTCATGCAGCTTGGGCTAACTGTTCTGATTCTGCCTTTTTAACACGTTGGCGACAATGCGTCCTGATGCCAGGATGCAGATTTTTTTTTCAATGAATACCCTCTGGAACTGTTGAGAACGTTCCAGAAGATTATGATTTCGTAATTACTGATAAAAATTCCAAAAAATTCAACATTTTAAAAAACTAGGCAAAAAAAATGTTTTCTGGGACCATGCGTCCTGATGGCAGGACGCATTTTTTGACAAAAAAAAAAAGCGCGTGGTCCCACGCGGCGGACAAGCAAAAATAGGCTGGTCGTCAACGTGTTAAGAATACCTACAGTAGAAACAGCAGCCATCAGGTACGCACAGGGGCTCCCAGGCTATGTCTCTAAGAAGTACAGTACATGTACCACCTCTCTAATATAGAGCCACTGCAGCAGTACGCCTCCAAACTTGCACTTTAAAAACCCTAGGCGAATGGATGATATCCACCATATCAGGGTAACCAGTAACAAGAAAATTAAGTTCAGAAAGCATAAATGAGTAAGAACCTGCCCTGTATTCAACTTAAATCGTAGAGCAGAGGATAGTCAGGGCCCCCCCCATCTCCCATCTACACCTGTCCCAGCAGCATTCTTAACCTACTTGCCTGCATTGTATCATAGCCTAAAAAAGTGTAGAATACCTTCTTCCAGGATTGAGTGGCATACGACCTGTCCTGAACAGCAGAACCTGCACCTCAACACCCCGGATGACTACTAGCTCTAAGACCCATACCTCAAGCTAAGTCATTCCATCACCCTCCCATAAATGTCCATAGTGTGACTGAAAGGAAGTGTGAATGCACGAGCGAATGATGCGTGGCCGCACATATCTATTCTTAGCCCAGCTGTAAAAAGAACCCCATCTGAGTCATCATTATAGATTTTATTCTTCACAATTAAATACTCGGGAAAAATCAAGGGAAACCAACTAAGAAATTCAAAACAAAAATAAAATTTCAAAATATGAAAACCACCCCCACAATGACCATGCCGACTGAAAAATCTTTTACTCGAACCTAGTGATCCCTGGCCTGACAACACCACCGGGTGGCTGGCTGCGGATCCACCCAACCCCAAGACATCACTTCAACTCCAAATGAAGAAGAATTATCTTTCTATACCCCCCTTGTATCCTCTTTCTGTATAGGGCATGTTGTACAAATAAATGGTCGTTGAACAAAAAAAAATATATGTGGTATCTTCAGGTCGTGACCTGGCTGGCTCTTTGTCCCTTACAGGCTCAGGGTTCAAAACTTACCACGACACAATGGAGGACAATACAGCCTGCAGAGTTCGAACAAGTATGAGAAACTTAAAGAAAGGTCAGCGAAAGAACTCATTCAATAAAATTGTTAGGCAATACGCGTCATCAGTGTAATCAAGCCGCAAGTCAGATCAAACACACCCTATCTAAAAAGTATTCTATCAGGTGCTGCGGCAATAATTTTAACGGTTAGCAACTCAGGCGTTAAGTACTGTCTATCCCAGCTAAAATCTAAAGTTCAGTACCACTGTAAATCAACACTTGGCTCGACCAGCTTCGCGACCCCAATCTATCGTACTTTCCAGTTAATTGAATAACCTAAGCCTATGAAGAAACAGAAATTGAAGGTATGGTATTAATTGGTACAGCCTACGATACGACACTTTCGTTCACTCGGACAACTCGTACATTATTACTGGTGGCCTACTGGCCGAGCACGTCCACAACTTTTGTTGTCACGGCTCAGGAAGGACAGTCTTAACCAGATTCCTGCTACCAAAATTTGATCTACAGTTCAACGTGGAAATGGTGTGCATCAAATAAACTATTGCCGGGAATTAGTTCGACATGTATAAAGAAATGTGATAGGACTTATGAAAGATCAAGAAACGCGACACGTGAAAATGAATTTGACGTTGAAAGAAGTACTTCATAGACCACATTATCGGTAACGTTGCCAGCAAGAGTTTTGCCTTGTTTCGGTCCATCCACACCCTGAATCTTCAGAGAATTCGTGAGCAGACAACGTACAATTGCCCATGCGTTTAAACAACTACTTCCGGAGCCTCTATTAAGTCATAACGCAAGCAAGCTCGATAGGGAATCCACGTCGACCGAGATCGAACGGTGTGCCGACGTTGTACGACGTGTCCAAATGAAACAGGCAGGGAATGAGCGCTGTCAAGAAGCACTTCCGCGATCACACCTCAAATGGTGAAACTTTTTCGTTCCTATCTTCCACGACCATACTCGTACCGCAGAAGCATAACGAAACCAGAAAGACGGAGAATGTCGAGGAATTCAACGGAAAAGTGGACCTAGTGATGCCGTGGTGAGTCCGGAATCCGCCTTCCAATCCAGACGACACGTCCTCACTGTCCAAACAGGAGAGGATACATAATGATGCGCTCGCTGCTCAAGTTAGTAACGCAACAACTATGATGTTGTCCATGTAGCTCATTAACCAAATCATCAGAGGATCGTCTGATGAACGCACGGAGAGCCCAAATAGACAGCTTTGTACTCGCGGAAGTGTTCCGCTGCTACCGTCGGACCACCTTTGATCAAAACATCATACGGGTTTTCTGTCAATCTATTCGCAACGATGGCCACAACGAGCTCTCTTTAAGGCAATACTCGTCGATTTTACCGCGAAATTCTTTGCAAACGACTGGCAACACTAAGCGAAGTGCACCATCCAGCAAAACTCCTTCGGCACCGAATGGACGGTCACCGTCCGAATATCGTAACGCTCGTTCGATCATTACCAGGTCTTCAGCGGGGCTCCATTGGCGCTTCGTCCCAAACGATGAAGTCGATAAATTCGTATCATCGGCTGAATTTTGCGCGATAAAAGACGTTATTTGCGTGAGCAGGTCCAATGCAAGTCGAGGACTCCGTGAAACGTCATACCTCCAAACAACAGAATTGAAGTAATACCAGACATGCAGTAACATTGCAGTAATACCGCTCAAACATTCTGTCCTCTTACCAACGATATATGAGTACAGAAATGCTTTCCCAGTGCTACCTAGTCAGACCACAAATAACAGCGATGCACTTTCCGGTGTGAAATACATGAAATACAATGGCGCTGCATTTGCATCGCTATGTCCGTATCGTGAACTAGAGTTGATCATACGCTAATGGCCTTAGTGGAAGAACAATATCATTACAAGATTAAAGGATGTTCATAAATGACAAACATAGCCGAATATTTTGGAGTAGTACGAGTCGTTAGCGGGAATGCCAACAATCGCTACATCGTAGGAAGTAAACGCGTTTGCATTTCTCCCTATCAGCAGCATTTTCAACTCGAGAGAATTTTCCATTAAGTTCGTTAATAACACTTTCTCATTATGACCACTGTTCCAAAGTTACCCTTTTCCTTCATATCAAATTGAATGCCTCCTCCTCGGAATGAAATAGCCCAGTAAGCCCTGCTCAACAGAGCATTTTACATTCACAGGACCGAGATGGGAGCAGCACGACCGGGATGACGTTGGGCATCCCAGCTCCCACAGTGACAGTACGACACGGTTGTTTCACGCGCTGACTTCTGCGAAGCGTTAACGACATCGTTTCGTCCTGCAGTTAACGCAGCACTGCACTGCCGCCCTGTAACTCTGCAACCTTACCAACTCTTTTCTTCCTTTTAGGTGCAAACCTATGATGTCTTCCAATCCATCCCACTTGCCCTCTCACTAGAAACGCTGAGGTAGTTAGCTCAACGGCTGGTGAGGCTACGATTTTAAAAGGCAAAAGCTGGTAGGCTGATCAGTTATACAGACTACGAAATGCCTGTGCCTTATAACGTACTGCGTTACGGCCCATGTCCTTCCGCTCGCCTATGGTCTTTAGAGGCCTAGGCTTGTAGCCTAAACCTCTAAGAGCCGAACTATCCATAGGGGCCTAGGTCAAAGGCGGGAATACTGAATCTCCTCCCATTTGCTGGCATTCTTGTTTACGATCTAATGCAAGAAAGTAATACAATGGTATCTAAAGTAGAAGAGAAAACAAGAAAGTGTAAGTCTTCGCAAAGTTGCACGCGAGATGGTAGTCACCGCGAGAAAACTAGAACAAGAAATGAGGCAGCTCCAAGCACGTCAACATTAAGTCCACCATCTGAGAATGGACCTAGTGGATCGGCAGTGGAAGCTTAGGTTAACGATCGGAATTGATTCATTCGGGGATTTCACATATCCATTATCCTAATATGCAAATCACAAAAATTGACATGCTGGTAAATGAACAAAGGTTTACGAAATTGTAATGCATCATACGTCGAAAAATGGTCCTCTTTGGAACAATAGAAGAAACTTTTCGCTTCTGGATTGGTGCAACATTCAGTTATTCAACCCCAACATTCCCCTGTCCTGCACTTACAGGAAAAAAAAAAGATAAGTTGTTTAGACTGAATCTTATTATCTTGTATTCTGAAGCCTTGACCATCAAGATTCAAATTCCGGCTGCATTGGTGGTTGATATGTCCTGGTCAGGCGCTCTTAGCTAGCTACATCCGACGTCTCCAAGCTTGACGTCAATCATTCCTGCAGGATGAAGAGAATTCATTTAAGATCATTGCAATTAGCTGCATGAAATATCGGGAATGGTATTGTCCAATAATAATAATCCTCCTAATAATATTCTTAATCTCCATTTCCATATTAATATCCTTAATATTCCTCCTTCTGCTTGCTGCTTAACGTCTTTGCCTTCTCTGTTCATCGGCTCGCTGTCACTTACACGATACGTTTCTTGAAGTTTCTTCAAATTTTCATCGCATTGATTTCCTATACCTTTGTTTCTAAGCGACTACCGCAGGCTTGCTGGAAGCGGACTAGTTCCTTCGCTTAATCCTAATCCTTAATCCGAAGTGTGCCTAAGTGCATTTCCTAGCGCAACTGACGTCAGTAGGAGGGCTAGGTGTATACCATGAACGAAGTGGACGTTTCGTTCACCTCTACCAGTGGGCGCGAACAGCTTGGAGATCAGCCCTCATCATCCCGTAAGTTATGCGGTCATAAGTGATGCGGCCTTATCAGTTCTCATAAGATATCCTTAGAATACAGAGTGACCGGAAAGTTTCCGGACACCTTTTCAAAGTGCAGTTACTCTCGAATGGAAAGTTACTTTTTATGCAAAGAGCGTTTAAAAAAAATTCATTTTACTTTTCTCTGTTGCACGTAAAAATCAGGCTGTTTTGTATCACGTCCAAATAAATAAATGAATAAATAATTTTTTTGAAGACCATGGATTTAGGTCTTTCCACAACCGTGAATGGTGTGTGCAGTCGTTGATCGGTTCCCAAAATGATTGACCATCAATGCAAAGAGCAATCAGGTTGAAAATTTTTTTTTATATTAATATTAAACTTGTCTTCTATCATTTTCCGTTAAAATTCTTTGTCATTGTTGCTTTGGCTACAGATATTTTATTTTTAAAGTGTCCGGAAACTTTCTAGTCACCCTGTAAATACAGCATTTTGAGAGTTCTCTCCCAAACGCATCATAAATGCGAAATGTGAGCTTTTCATGGGTATCCTGTTATCGCGTTAAAATGAGGTTGCTGCTTGGCTTCCTGCTCCTTTGAATAATTTTGCATATAATTTTTTTCGTGTGTGAGCTCCTCGCTTTCCGAGACAAATGGGTGTTCTTTTCCGCTATTGAAAAAGAAATGTTTCTCATGGTTGGTGAGAACAAGAAAGAGAAAGATGGGAAGCGCCTCAAGGTCAAGGGAGGAAAGAGAGAATATCCTGCCATGAAAGCTGCCAAATTGCATCCAAACCATCGAGGTAAATGCCTAAGTCTGATTATAAGAAAATTGTCATGATTCCTGGTTAAAATGTTGGTACTGGCAGAAACTCTTTCTCGTAGAAATTCTCCTTTCTCTCATTGACCCTCTCAATGTTGACGTTAAATTTAGAAGAAAGCGTGCAATCGTTATTCATTGTTTTCATCCTCATGGAAAATGCGATGAATTGTTGGGCTTCCCTAGAAAGTTACTACTAACTCAAGGGTTAGTAGGGCACATATGAATAGGCTTCTAGGAAACATTTTTTTTTTCTGCAGCTGGTGTTTGAAGGAATTCAGAGATCTGTTGCCGTCCCCAGGAGTCGAATCACCGGGAGCAACAAGATCACTTCTGCAATAGTAAAAGAATATATTCAAACAAGACGTCTTGAAGGTTTGGTGAAGGCCATAAATCGAGTCCTTGAGGTTGTTCAAAGAAGGCAGCAATTGGCTTCTATCAGCACAGGAAATGACAACCAGTGAGTCATTTCTATTAACCTCCCATACTTTTTGGTTTTATTTTTCTTATTACAGTATGCCGAATTCATTTCCAAGGTATTTCGAGAAGTGGTTGGTCTTAAGTAGAAAGTTTGCCAAGGCTACTTTTTTTCCTTGGCCTTTACATTCCAAAACAATGGTTCATGCACTTATTGCAGTGGAATCGACAAATGCTTTAGCTGGATTCGTAAAGACTAAGCAAAGAGAGAAACACGTGCGATCATTTTGTTTCTCTCTTTTCATGTGTCCATTCCGGAATTTTTTGTTTTCCACGAAGAGTGGAAAAATTTGCGTACATTTATATCCCTGAATTAAGCAATTTCTTGCACGTTTCGCAACGAATTTATTTCCATCATTCTAGACGCCAGTCCTGCAGTACTACGTATGCCTCTCGACGCTCGCAAATATCAGTCCCGTTCGTTTCGACGGTGTTTCCTTCATCACAGACGGAAGTCACGCCTATCCTTGCGGCGAATCCGGAGTCGAGCATGAGACAAACCTGCAGGAGAGGGATTAGAGCGAGAGAGGACTCCGAGCCCAGAACGAAGAAGAGGAAGGTATCTGCTACGTCTTGGAGTCGAGCAAGTCTTGAATCCTGTTATCGCGGTGCGTTTTGTTTCGCATTCTGTGAACAAATTTGTGAAGCACCTGGGATTTGAAACACGGACTAGGATTCAATTACTTGAACCAAGAATTTTCTTTCAATTGCAATAATACTCGTTCAGAAAGATCCATCTTTAAACGAAATTCTTAGAATCCTTTTTTTTTTTCATTTTACACTTCTGAGAACCGTGATATTTTATCTACAGCAGGGAATCACGAGATTAATTTTTCTCTTCTCGAACTGAGTGCTTCTGCTGCAAGGTCATTCTCTACAGAGGAAAAAAACCTCCTGAAGGAGAAACTGACGGCAGAAGGCGAAGACAAAGGGTGCCAACTACCCATCGTCGTGGCTTCCAGTCCAAGTTCGAATTCCTTCAATGTCGGCTATGTAAGTTCATTCCCTTCATAAAGCTAATGAATTCCAGAGAGTTAATGTTTATAGTATGGTACGTGACGATGAACGAATTTTCTTACCACAGCTTCACGCCTACAAGTACGAGGTAATAGCCGGCCGGCACATTGTCCAAGCACGGAAGGAGATCGGCCAGGAAACGGGAAATGGCAAAGATACTTGCACATGCGCAATCTACTGGGGTTTGACAGAGGAAGGAAAGAGGATGCTGGCACTTCAGAACGCCAAGCTACAAGGAATCCCTTATGATGCCCTTGACGTAGTGAGAAATCTTGTAGCTTCTAACGAGTTTTGAAAGAATTGTTCAAGAACTTTGAAATTCTTGGAGAGGATAACCCTTCCCCTTCATTTCATGAATCAGTTTAGTTTTTGCATTACATATTTGTTCGTTTTCCAATAACACATCGTGCATGGTTATCTCTAATTAGCTGGAGAAATATGAAGAACTTCGAGAAACCATGGAGAATGAATTTGAAATCCACGCAGCTTACGGTGAGATCCTGAAAGTGAGTTGAAATATAGTCTCCCTGACGCTGCACGCTATATCTTGTTTCACAGCCTGAAATTCCGTCTCTTATCTGTGTGAAATATCAGAAATTCTGTATAATCGTGGAATTTTTTTAAATAAGGCCTTATGATGATTTATCATTTATGTATGATTTGTCTGGCTTTTAAAAGTCTACTGCATATTCTGTACTTTCTGTATATTTTAATCCTTGCAACATCCTCACAAGGATAAAAAGAAGCATCAGGTCCTGAAGAACATATTCCAAATGGGGTCCGAGGCATTGCAAGGATTCCTGACCGTAGCAAGGGAGTTAGACGAATGAGCCTGGCTGCATCGACTAGAGACTCCATCATCTACGACATCTGGGGAATCCCTGCTTAACCACAAATGATTTCCTGGTATTTCGATGATTTTATCCCAATCTTGATTTTGCTCTTCCTTTTCGAAAATCTCCAGAAACCTGAGTGAACATTTATAAACTGAAATAATGAAATGTGATTAGTGACATGAATGATGGAAAACAATATCTGCTCGATGTGAAAAATTTCAGCAGGCAACTTCTTGCGAGGAATATTAAAGATCTGGAATAATGGTACCAAATAAACAACTTTGAACTTCAGAGATGGCACTGACTCATTAATGCAATTTCCCTTCATTTAACAAACCATGATCTAAAATTAAACTGCAGGTAGACTGAATTCATAATTTTATATTACAGGAACAAATGAAAATCCTGAGACAGGGAAGTGACATGAAAGAATTTGCAGACAAACTACAGGAAGTTATCCAAAGGAAGACCCTGATTAGATCCTTTGCAAGGTATTGCAGTTTCCTACTTCAGCACTTACCAAAGGATCCGTACCCCATAGGTTAAAGGAGACCAGTCGTTACGATCCCAAAATTTTGAAGAAGGAAAAAAAATTAGAACAAATAATTTTATGTAAAATATGGCAATCGCTTCATTGTTACTTCAGCATGTTGTGAACTTGAAAATTGCTGTGTGCAGCTTTTGAGCTTTACATAACGCTTCATTTTTAGCGTGTAACTTTCATTAGGGAACAAGGATAGAAAGCCAGAAAGAAGAGATATCTCTATGCAGGATTGCCGGTATGGAGGAGGAAGAAGTTTTGCACAGGTTCTCGCAACAAGTGACAAGTGAGTCCCTGAAGTCGTTCATGGGAATGAGGAAGCCCGAGGAAGCAGACGAATGGACGAGTTTTGTGAAGCTGTGCATATCTCGCCAAGCCATTCAGAGGGAAAAAGATTATCCAGAAACCGGTGAAGAAGTTAAAACCATTCTTGGGAATCCCCTAGAAATTCCCAAAGGAACTTTCATTTATCCTCTCCATGCAGCGGTCTTTTCCATCAATGTAAGATTTCAGAATTTTGTGTGTTACGCGCCCAGCTGACTCTTTTTATATTTCCGCTGGTTTCGTCCTAATTTTAGGATCCTGGGGATGTTGAGAAGTGCCTCCTCGGCCTCCATGCACATCAGGGTCGTTGCAAGGCGGAGAAGAAAATACGCACCGCGTTTTGTGCTGGAGACATCATGCATGCAGCAGAGGTTCGAGAGTCTCTCAGAAGGCATGACTTAAAAACTGATGTGGCTATTTTGCAGGGGGAACATCGTGAAGGTGAGTAATTGGTTTGATAATGGCAATACAAGTTTCTTTGTTGGTGGCTTTAACTCCAGGAGAACTCCTATTCCAGGAGAACTCTTCAAGCACCATCATTCCTATGTTGTTATCGGAGCCAGACACAGGATTGACCTTCCATCATCTGTGCTCACAAGGAAGGAGTTCCTGCAATCTTTCCATAAACCAAACTGCTGGCTCTTGTCAAACATCCGAGGGTTGAGTAAGTTTAAATTATGATAGACCTGGTGATTGGCCATATATGTTGGCTGGTCATGCATCGCAATTGTGAAAAATTTGCATCACTCCACAAATTCTTTCAGGAAAAGAAGAACTTCCTCTTCACTTGAAGCTGGTCACCCTTGTAGATTTGAAGTTGGAGTCAGAGGAAGGTGGTGATGATTCGCAACGGTCTGTGGAACGTCTTCCGGGCTTTGAATCGGAAACGCAAATCGAGTCAGTAAATTTTGAAATTCATTTTCTGCATAAATCGAGCTGCATCATATATATGTGATTGCATATGACCTTGAAGGGCAATGAATGTGGGAGAGGAGACATTGGAAAACTTCGACCTTGAAATGTCACCAGATATTCCAGAAGACTCTCGGTGATCCTTTGTACTTCCCACCCAGCGCCTTCCAAAGTTACTCAACAAGATAAGTTTCAGATTCTCTAAACGATTGTGGCATTGCCTATGTTTGTAATTATGAACTTCAGTGATTTGAACTTATTTCCGCATTTCTCGCTACAGTAGCACAAGTACATGAATCGGTTTTGCAGTCCATGGAAAGGAAAGTCCCTTTTCAATTTGCTTTTTCATCACCATTGCAATAACGGGTACATTGTTTACTGATGTTCATGTTTCTTTTTTCCCTCTGCCAAGCTGACATCGGAAATGTGAATAATCAATCCTGAGTTTGAGCCGTTCAATGGACGTGTAGTTTCCGTGACAGTATCTTCAATAGAAGTACATATGTTGTTCATTCGCAGGGTGGAGTGGTGATGAGCCGAAAACATTGCATTCGGAGTTAATCATGAGATGTGGAGTTCCTTCACAAATGGCCTCCCAATTTCTTTGATATTCCATGGATGTGAATAGTGTGGGTAATTACTATAGGGTGTTCATAAATTTTTCCTATCATTCCAAAATACGCCTTGGTTGTCAAGTCATGTAATCCGACATAAATTGTTTTTTTTTTCCCCCGATTATTGCCGTGCACACGTGGCAAAACTCTTGGTATGAAAAGCTATTTCCTTTTCTATGACAGTGGAGATGGTGAGTCACCGGAGGTTTGGGGTCACCGAAGGTCTGGAGTCACCGTGGGCAGAAGCAGAGTTCACTGAAGACAACTGTGATTAATTTCATCGACGTGTTTATACAAATTAATCATGCGATTCAACTCTCTTTGAATAAGTGGATCTCTTGTGTGTCACTAAACTCGATGCTGCCAAGTGAAGACGTTATCGCGTATATTGGTTGCTAAGAAGATTGTGAGATACTCCCTTCATTTTTTTTAAATTCACCGCCCCGCCCCTCCTTTTTCTCTTGTCATGTAATGTATTGTCTTGTTTCATGTAACAAGTTCATTTGTGCCTTATTGCTTTACCTGTCAATACATGCATATAAACGGACAAAATGCATTGCAATTCATTTTGTACTTAATAAATATATGGGGATGGAAATGAAGTCCTATTTCTCCCTAAGAAAGAAGCTGTGTTTTGGGACAATTGGCCACTCTTACAGTCTGTGCGTAAACAAGGCCATTGTGATACCCACTGAATGGGTTTCTGGCCAGTTGACTGGAAACTCTGTTTGCCTTAAAATCCACAAGGCCGTTGACAGAATGGGAAACTGGCCAATTGGCTGAAAACCCACCCTCTTCTAGACATGCGAACGCCCTCCAACAAAATGGGGAATTGGACAATTGGCTTGGAACCCATCTTCTCAGAGACATTCAACATTCTTACTTCCAGGACTCCAAATCCATGGAAACCCATCCTGTGGCAAAGAAGCACAATATTGACCTCAATTAGGATCATAATTATCGGGGTCTCGTCAAATTAAAATCGTCGTACTTATCAACACTAACCATGGATTTAAAGCCTCGGGTCGGGAAAGAGGCGTACCTTCTCGTCCCTTTACTTTGTCCTGGTATGATACCAATAAGCAACTAAATTGATATTGATGAAAATATGCTTTGTATGAAGCGTCATTGGCCTCAATTTGAGTATCTTGGAATAATTATTGAGGCCAGATTATTTGTCTGAAAAAAACGGAGTGAATTCAACAAGGGATGATTACTGTCTGATGGACAAAATAAATTACTTCCAAGTGCATTGGTTTATTTTAAAGGCAATTGCATGGATTATGCTGTCACGCCGGTCCAAGGGCCTCTATGAGGAGATTATTGCCCGTATTATGATCATTTTTAAAGCAATTGTGCAAAGAAATTCGAAAATTGCTTACTTGAATTCTCAAGTCTTAATTCAATCTTGTTCATTGGGTTTTCTTTGCAAGTGGACTGATTTTTCGAGCTCTCGTTAATCTGTCGAATAATGACATTCACGTCCGAGTCATAACGACAGTCGATGGAAAAATCGGAACACTCAGAGAAATCGGTAAATCGAGATGAAATACTTCTCTCAATTTTCGCGTTTCGATTTATTTTTCTCAAGAGAAAAAGACATCAACTGGATTTTCGATTTAT